CCATAACTTTTTGAGTACACCCAAAAGTCCTTTCCCCTCTCTCTCTGCTTTTTGCTTCCCTCTTTACGCCTCCTCCTCTAACCCTAATCTCAGTCCTAAAGTCAAATAAGAAGGCGATGAAGAACAAGAACAAGAAGACAATGAAGAACAAGAACAAGAAGACGCTCATCCCCAGATCTGTGCTTAGATTGAACAGATTTGGAATTGTTTAGCTCTCAATTTCTTTCTCTTTCTCTCTCTCTGATCTTTTCATTTTGATTTTTCTGATCCCCCGGTCTTGTGTGATGGTCCTCATATTTATGGAGGGCCATCAGGTGATAGGAACGCTTCATCTTCATTTTGAATTTCAAATTGAATGATATTTGAATTTCAAATTGAATGATAACGCTATTTAAATTTTGAATAATAGCGCTATCTGATTAATCGTATATCTGATTAACCGGATTGATCTTTGGGTTTCATCCTGTGTGGTGTCCTTGCTGTAGGCTCTACAGGTGTCATCTTTCGTAGGCTCCACGTGTCATTTGAGCATCTTAAATAACGTCTTTAAGATACGACGTTGTTTTATTTATACACTTCAACGGAGTAAGTTAATCATTTTGGGAAGTGATTGCCTACAACAATCTTATTGTAGGCTCTATGTGTGTCATTGACTGTATTTGAAATTTAAACATAAATTTGGTTTAAAATTTATGTGCCAACAGGAATAACAACGTACAGACTTCATGGGAATTACACAGATGAGACAATCTCTGGAAAGTATACAAAATAATGCATTTGAAACCTCTAAATCCCTCCATGAGTAATGAGATCTAGACTTTGAAACATAGAAGCTTAAAGAGTACAAACAAAAAAGTAATAAATGATTTCTAAAGGTTGAACTTGTAGAATTGAAAAAATAGAAAATAGGGCAATTTTTCCTAACCAAATTGAAAACAGAAATCAATATGATTATTTCATGCAAATGCTAATGGCTGAATCAATGAATGTATAAGGTGGCAATTGTACCAACCAACCAAACCAAGCCTTCAGTCCCATCAAATAGGATCCACTACATCAATCTTTCTTCTCCACGCGGCCCTATCAAAGGTCATTTCGTTAGTCAAATTAAGTAGATCCATATCTCTATTTACAAGGCTAACCAATGCTAATCTAGGTCTACCCCGTCCCCTAACACTTCCATCTACCGTTACAGCATCGCATCTCTTTACTACTGTCTCTGTTAGTCTCCGTTGAATATGACCAAACCATCTCAATCGATTCTCTTTCAACTTATCTTCTATCGGTGCTACTCCTACCCATTCCCTAATACACTCATTCTTAATTCTGTCTTGTCTAATCTTGCCACACATCCACCTTAGCATTCTCATCTCATCCACACTCATCTTAGCTACATGTTGTTTCTTGATTGCCCAACACTCTATCTCATACAACATCGCTAGTCTAATAGCTGTTCTATAGAACTTACCTTTAAGTTTAGTGGGTATTCGTTTATCGCATAGTACCCCAGACGCACTTCTCCACTTACACCATCCCGCCTTAATACAGGTTAAGACCACTAAATATAGGTTTCTGATTCAATCTTCTCTTCAGGAAGGGTTACAGGCTCCTAAGATATAGATAATAGGTTTTGATAGGAAAGGGTGTTCACTTTCCTTTTCAGATACAACAAAAACAGTCATTTTGCTATAGTCTGCTTTTTTATAATTATGTTAACAAAGGAGGCAATGAAGTGAAGACTTGAAGGAGGAACAAGTCCCTCATAGAGATCACAAGTGGAGAAAGAGTAAATCAATTTGTAGTTGACATCAATCTCTAACATTTATTCATATTTAACACATATATTACAACTAAGCAGGAAAAAAAATTTGTCGACATATATTTAAATGTAATATACACGCACTCATAGGCACTCTCAACCTCAAAAACTTCTACATGCCCTTGCTCCCCCACCCTCACTTCATGCAACTAAACTATATCTATATTAATATTTTGTGTGCAAATTAACATATATAAAACATAGCTCATCTTCAAAATGAACGCATATATATAAACTTGATTATGCATGAACCAGGTGCTTTTTGCCGACAATTTGTATAAAGAAAGGAGAAAGGCTGGTTTATTATTTTGCCACCAATTAATTTCTTCTTCTTTTTTGGTAGGTAAGTGAAATATATAAAAGCTACTTACCCAAAAAATATATAAAAGCCAACAAAATAACATGGCATAATCATTATCCAGGTTGACGAGAGATCTAGAGGGAGTCTAGTGGAGATTATAGAGAAGAATCGACTACAAAGCTTCTCACTGAAGA